CCCTCACCTGAGGCATGGTGACCCTCAGGTTAAACCACCACCATTGTCTCTCTCTCTCTAATGAGAGAGTAGCCAGATGGTCCTCTGGGACAGTGACAATCTGAAAATTAACTCTAGGAAGCTGACGATGTGTCTTTTTGTTCAGGTAGATGTTAAGGATTCCGTACCATTATGCAGAACACAGCGAGGGATTCAAAAGTCCTTACAACTCATGGGACCAGAACTGAGAAGAACAATGAAATCAAACCCACAGATTGGATGGGAAGGAACATTTCTCTAGATTTATTCTGATTACCTGGAATGTGATTTTATTCGGGAGTAGTTAGAATTTTGTTCTGCCATGTATTTTGAAATATCTCAAACATTGGTATATTAAGACAGTTTGCCTTCATTTATTTTATTTTTTGCTTCTTTCATGCATAAAAATACTTCTGTTTTATTCTTAAAACCAAACCGACAGCCTTGTGTATCTGTGAAAGATCATCACAGATCAAATTTTGACATATGATCTACCAAGCCAGATTTCATTCTGGGATTTGACTCATCCAATAGGAACATGAGTTGGGATCAGAACCGTAAAACCTCAGGCCCCCAAATGGGTTGAACGTTTAGTAGCACAGAAAAGGGAGTTGGTGTTACTGTTTATGAATCATAGAATCCCTACAGTGTGGAAACAGGACATTCAGATTTTTCTGAAGAAGGGTCCCGACCCGAAACGTCAGCTTTCCTGCTCCTCTGATGCTGCCTGGCCTGAAATTTTCAGCAAGGACAGCCTGTTCACTATCAATCAGATAGTGTGCATCTAGAAAAGAGGATGCAAAGGAAAAACACAGGTTCTATAGGACCAGAAGATTAAAATTACATCAGCCTTAACTGATTTCCTTTAAATTCCTTACTAAGATGGCTCTCTCGTGCAGAAGAAATGGGAGTAGCTACGTTGGATCCAACATCCTGCAACACACACTGGATCTGTGAAACAAGCCAAACAAGACTCAATATTTAATATAGCCACAGAACACAGGCAAGTTCCTGAAATAAGTGACAAGGAGAAGATTGTGACTATCTTAAGTTGCTGTTCTTCCTTGTTTATACACAAATTAGAAATATGTCTTAGTCATTTGAGTTCAATAACATTGATTTAAATTTATTTATTGATGCAAATAGCCTTCATTTTAATAATTAAATATGAAGCAGTCGTCCAATATATGGTTTAACTCAAGGCATAACAATGGAAATTATTTGTGATCAGAACTGGATTGAGTGTCTTTACAACCCATGCCTCAGTCTTTCAAAAGATGGACTGTAAACCTTCGAGAGATGAGGACAGGTACAAATTATCAAGTTGTTCTTATTTAAGAGACAACTAAATACTTCTCTTTTAAAAGGAAGACAAAATGAAGCCAGCTGGGTGAGTAAATTTGATATTATTTTTATTTTCAGAGATCCCTGAAGTTCAAAAACTAAGTGCTTACATCTTCGTAATTCCTTGTCAAGACTTGTCCCTTGCAGACAATTAAAACTCAACTGGTTCCCCGTGTTGCTTCGTTATTTCCCTTGACCTGCACAGGCCATCTGACTTTTCCCTTCCAGACCTCTGTTTCTCTTTCAGGTGTAAGCCATTGCCCTATATCCAGACAGGGCTCTAGAGGTCTACAAAGTAGCCAGGAAGGAACTTAAAAATGGACTTAGGAGAGCTAGAAGCGGGTATGAGAAAACCTTGGCAGGTAGGATCAAGGAAAACTCCAAATCTTTCCATACTTATGTGAGAAACAAGAGGATGGCCAGAGTGAAGGTAGGGCCAATCAGGGACAGTGGAGGGAACCTGTGTGTGGAGTCAGAGGAGGTAGGGGAGGTCCTTAATGAATACTTTGCTTCAGTGTTCACCAGTGAGAGGGAACTTGACGTTTGTGAGGACAGCATGAAACAGGCAGATATGCTTGAACAGGTTGTTGTTAGGAAGGAGGATGTGCTAAAAATTTTGAAAAACTTGAGGACATATAAGTCCCCTGGGCCAGACAGGATATACCCAAGGTTACTTGATAAGAGGTTTACAAGATGATGAGAGGCATAGATAGAATGGATAGTCAGAGACTTTTTCCCAGGGCGGAAATGACTATTACGAGGGGGCATAATTTTAAGGTGACTGGAGGACGGTATAGGGGAGATGTCAGAGGTAGGTTCTTCACACAGAGAGTGGTGGGCGTGTGGAATGCACTGCCGGCAGTGGTAGTGGACTCAGATACTTTAGAGACTTTTAAACAACTCTTGGATAGGCACATGGAGGATAGTAAAACGTAGGGTATGCATGGTAGATTGACCTTAGTAGGATAATAGGTCGGCACAACATCGTGGGCCGAAGGGCCTGTACTGTGCTGTCTGTTCTATGTTCTATGTATTACAACTATGCCACCCTTCCCTTAAGTGAGGATTCCCACCATCATAGTTAACAGGACACTTGGCTGCATCCATTACAATTCCTGCAGTCTGCTTTCCACAATTACCCTTCTGCCCAGTACCACAATAGTGCTCCCTTGTTTTTACCTTATACCTCATTAGCCTCTACATCCAAAGGTTCATCCACTCCCATACCTAACACCTTTAGCAGAATGACAGTAACCATATCTTCCTTTCTACTTTTAATATTCCTAAGGGATTGTTTGCTCCATAACACCCTGGTTCATGTGTCAATCACCCCTAATACCTGGGAAGGTGCTCTGTGGAGGGGGTAAGAATAGAAGAGGCAACATCTGTACTTATATCTTCTCTCTTTGCAGCATCTCATCCCAAAGACTTCTTGCAGATGAAACGGCAATGTATTTGTACATCTTTCAATTTTGTATTCTGCACTTACTGATCATGATGTGGGCTCCTCTACAGTGGGGAAAGTTAACACAAAATGGGCTATTGTTTTGCTGAATACTTCTGATCTGCCCCACAAGCTTCACATTACCTATACTCAGCCTCATACAAATGCTCCCAAAGGTCAATGTAATATTGAGGAAATGCATCTCATATAGTAATTAAGGTGTTTTACAGGTTTTCAGACTCAACACCAAGTTCAATAATTTCAAATCATAACTGCTACCCCATTAATAGGTTCTACTATTCCCATCTGCACTTCCTCTAGAACATTTGTTCCTTTACTCATCCCATTACCATTCTCTTTTGTCTTGAACCATCATTCCTTAACCATTAAATCTCTCCTGCCTTCCATATCACAGACCTTTCAATTTGTTCTTTTCTCCCCTCTTAACCACCGAATTTGTTTAAAACAAAATGGAAATAAATGGCTTTAGAAAAGGCACAGTCGTGAAGTCAGAAACTCACCTTGGGGTCAAACATGACGCCAGGTTGCAAAGTGTCTGGTAGTAAGAATCATGGTCAGCTTTTTGTTTACTTTCAATTATAAGAACACGGAGGTCAATTCTGTTGCAAGCACTGCCCATTTATTTGCTAGATTAGCTCTGAACTACAACCTTCCAGACACCCAAGCACCAGATCATGTTGCATACTTCATATTAAGTCATTAGGAAAAATTAAAATGTAATACCTTTAAAATCACTTTTAAATTTTCAAATTTAAGAGAATTTTTAGAAAGAATTTAAGTTTGACTCAAAGTTGAATACTAAATTATCTAATTATGACTGACAATGTAAATTTTGGTTTTACTAAACTCTTTTACAAATGAAAACATTTCTGAATTCAGAGCCTTAAATATTTTTGAAGACAATCTCCAGCCTGCCTCAACAGATTGAACTGTTTTAAAGCACTCCAAGGTACATCAATATCCTTAACATATACTGCACCAGAGACTACATAAACTGAGATTGTTCTTACAGAAGTGAAACTAAGGAGAAGAATTTTAAAAATAACGAGGGATTTTGATTTAGAGTAAATAAGAGCAAACTGCCTCCACTGGCAGGAGTTTCAGAAACCTGAGGGAACTTGGAAACAGGAGGTCCTCTGTTTCCCACTTGAACCGAAGCATCTCTGGCTAGATGAATATTTGTTGCCTGTCCCTAATTGTTCTTGGAGTGGACTGTTAAGGTCATTTTTGAGGATATTTGAGAGTTAATCACATTGTTGGGAGTCTAGAACCACATGGATGCCAGACTAGGTAAGGATATGTTCCTTAAAAGGAAATTAGAGATACAGATGTTTTATATTATGACAATTTACAATGGTTTCCAGGTTGACTTTAGACTAATTCATTTTCACCTGTTAAAATGGATTTTGAATTCATTTCTGACATGCTGTAATTAGAAAACAGTATTAGCCTTGCTAGTCCAATGAAAAAACCACTATACCAACTTTCCCCCTTTCAGATTCTTAAATCTAATCCATCATTTAATTATATCATGGTTGTTCTGAACTGTATCTTAACTCCATCCGATTACCTTGGCAAGCATAAGTTACAAATTGAAAAATAAGCTAGCATCTATTGTTTTTTTTTTAAAAGGAGTTTTCACACATCCACCCAGTGATGTGTACTTCATTTCTGAATGGTCCAGCTCTGATTTTAAGGTTATGTATCCTTGTTGTAGTCTCCTTGACCAGCAAAGAAAGGTTTTCTCAGTCTTCCCTACCATTTTCTTTCAAAATTCTATAAAAACATCATATAAATTTATCTATTAACCTTCTGTATCGTAAGGGACACAAGTCTATTTAGGTTATGAGAAACTATATCATTCTTGGAGGTGTGGTAACACAGCAGTGAATCTATCCTGTACTCCTTCAAGGGCTATTCTGTGTCCAGAATCATACTGTAGATCAAAGATAACCAGGAAAGTGAGACAATTCTTTCAAAGACTGATGCAGGCAGAGTAGGACAAGCAGCATCCTCTGGGCTAGGTAATTTAATGATTCACTGTACCTTGTAAAGTTCCTTCTCAAACTCAAAACCTTGCTCCAGGCAGAATTCAACTGCCAGCCTGAAAGAAACAACAGACAGCTTAGAGACACCATAAAACAAGAGCAAAAAAAATGTCTAGTACAAGTTTTCCCTCTATCACTCCCATAGAATATTGTCCTAAATACCAAACAGATTTTGGCTAAAATCCAAAATCCTAGTAATGAAAGAACAGTATCTTACAGTTTTTTGGGCAAAGCATGACATTTGTGCAGTGATTCTCACTGCGTGACTGAGTGGGTTCTCTTAACAACCTCACCACAGTAATTGACATTTCAGCCCTCGTAGCAAGACTCGTGTCCAGTTTCCACCTCCCACCTTTACCAAATGCCATTCCCAGAGTAACTTGCTATACAGCAGAGGTCCTCCTTAAGAAGAGCATCCCTCCCAGCTGCACAATCTTCCAAAGCCTGCTGAGCAACTGCAGGAGTGCTGCTATCTGGAAGCTGTGCTGCTCAGCTGTGGAAGGAGTGAGGAGAGATGGCAGAGAAGGGGAGGCTGAATCCATGATTCTCTGAGAGGGACTTGGAGATCCTTGTGGATGGGGTGCTAGAGAGGAGTCATCTTCCTAGAGGATTGGCAGAGGAGCCCCATCATCATGGGATTGGCATGGTTGGAGATTGTCCATTTCTAGAGTACGGAGCACAGGGCAGCAGATCAAGAAGATCAATAATTTTCACCCCAACAGTATAAACACAATGTTGTACTCTATACTACCCCACATAACTGTGCCACAGCATCCATTTCCCACTAATGCTTATGGTCTAACACCTTCTCTGTTGCATGAAACACCGTCCTCTCTTGCTGTCATCACCATCCCCCCCTTCCCACATGACTAACCATGTATGCCCTCCATGCTACTGCCTCACGCTCTGGAAACACTCCAACACATTCTCCCCATATTCCCCAATCCTAAGAGCTATGCTACCTACTTGCATCTCACTCATTTAGCCCTTTTATGCCATTACAGAAGACAAGACATCCCATAACAGGTTGAAGTGACATAGGACAGGTGGCACCAGCAGCAGAGATGAGAATTTTGCAGTGAGCTCTATAAAGGTACACAGGCAGTTCCAGATGTGTGAGGAAGAAACAACCCAGATCACTAGCAGTCGGAGGACTGCTGGAGACCAGGTACCTATTCAGCCCCCAGCAGGAGACGGCCCTGTGGTCTTGGCAATGAGGGATTTTTGCACAGGGAGGAGCAGCAGAGGCAGGCAGACATACACGAGGAACTGACCTCGACGCTGAGAAGCTGGAGCAACGTGCCATTCCCTCAATGCACTGCCTGTCATTACCAAGACTCTTTAGCAGTGCAGCCAGTCCTGAGACTATCTGTCTCCATGTAGACGGTGGCAGCTGCCATGGACAGACAGGCAGGCTCAGCACCATCAGGGGCTGCTGGACAGTCCTAATACCCACCCTTCATGTCCCCAGTCCGTGGACCTCAGGACCAAGAGCACGGCAAGAGTGGGACAGGGAGCTTCAAATTTGGTCCAAGTACCCTTCTTCAAAAGGAGACAGGGTAGTGCCAGGAGGCACCAGCTGGAGGAGGAGTGATGCCTGGGAAACTCATGTAAATATTTTGTTCAGCATATGATGTGATGTTCATTGTTTGTATGAAAAAAGCTGTCAAGCTGAAACTTTGGTTTTCAAACAATGTTATGTCAATAGTTATTATATTTCATAAACCTTTGCAATTCACCATTTATGTGGTTGTCCCCTTATCTGTCTTGCTTGTAGAAGCTCCGTTGCACCCTGTAGCATCACTCATTGGACATTAACAAGGCACATAGTTGGGGTGCCCAACAAGTGTCAAATGGAAGCAATGGTAGCTGCAAGTCTGCATGTCATCAGCTCACTCCAACATCTAAGGCAATCCCATCCCCCTCATCACTGCCTAATGATTTGCTTGCAATATGCGCAGAAGTGTACATCTTGGGGAGCTCCCCAGCAGTGACTGGGCCAGGGAGTTACAACACAGATGGCTAATTCTGTACAATGGTCAGGGAGTAAGGACCTTAGATGTCTGTGTTGCCAAGATAATATGCTGGAGAATAATGCTGTTCCCATGTAATACACCCTCCTATGGCTAGTTTGTGTTGAGAGTCTGGCAAGATCGCAACTTGTGACAAGTTGGGCTGTTTACAAGCAATGATGAACTCAATTGGGAACTTGCCACTGCTAGTGAGACTCTCAACACACCACTTGCGAAAAATGAATATGCAGAGAGATGATCTCAACATAGAGATCAGCCTTGCCAGACATCTTGCCATAGCCCAATAAGATACCATGCAGTGTCCCAACAAACTGCAACACAGTCTGCTGTGTTATTACAAAATACAGAAATATAGCAACAGCTCAAGTTGATTTCTCATGATTCAGAACTACATATTCTATTTTCCCCCTTTTCACTGCTCCTTCCCTACCACCTCCCACGTTTTCTCCATTTTCTTTCCAGAATTGATTCCTGCTCAAATGTGTTTCCATGGTCCCAGGTGTCCTCAAGTACCTTCTCCAACAGGCCAATATGCACATTAAAATAGCAAGTGTCCTTTAACTGTGGGAGGTATCACAAGCAATGTTCTTGTTCAATATCCCCAAATTCAGGGAAGAAGTAAAATCCCTGGAGTAATTTCCTTTCTTCAGAGCTCGAGTACAGTAGCAAATTACTTGCCCTGACTGAGGTACTTTAACATCACAAAGTATTGAACCTTCTTAGTTTGGCAAGTTCACTGTGCAATATTTGCAGCAATTAGTACTGAGTGATATAAGTGTGCCACCAGCACAAATTTCTCAATAACTCCAAATATTCTCTAAAATGTTAAGCATTACATACCCAATTGCAGATGTCAATTCATCTGTACTGCCCAAAGCTTCAAATACAATATCATCCTTTCGCCTACGCTCCCCAGTGAAGGTGCTGGAAAACCCTTTCAAAACATAGAAATTGTAAAAGGTGAACAAGCATTATGGAATGATAACAAATTATAAATTTTGCTGAACAGCTGCAATAAACTCAAATGGAAAAGCAAGCGAGTCAAAGTGGAATGCAAAGCAGACTACTGATTTGCCATTGCTCATTTGTTAAGTAAGATGGATTTTTACACTTTTTTGTAGATTTCTAAAAAAAATGTATTTGGAATGTAGGGAAGCATTGGTAATCTTATCAAACTCTCTTCTTCAACAGCATCACAGTGCATTAGGTCATATAGGTCTAAGGTACACCACCTGAACACTTAGTGTCACTATAATCTCTAATGCTGTAAGTTCCTGATCCCAAGAAAACTGCTAGCAGGAGATTCTGAACATCTCTCAGGTTCCCTCCTTTAGCATGGGCAGAGGACTGGGAGCAGGAACTGTGTGGGCCAGGTATAACAAGAGCGCTGAAGATCAGTTCAACAAAGAATTAAAACAAAAGTATTTTTGAGCAATACTTTTCCACATGTTTTCACTCAAAGTGTGGAAAAATACCTCAAATATAAAAGGATCCTCACACTCTCAATGCATGAACCTACAAATATATCTAATGGAGCATCTCTACTCTCAGCAGTTAAGCAAATATATTCTTTAGTAACAGTACAAACCTTTGTCTCCTGTTTTTGTGTAAATCTTGGGAGTTTTGAGCTCCTCTGTTTTGGCACTCAAACTACAAAACAAAACAGTACAATCAAAAATGGAACAATACATTAACTGTATAATCATAGGCTAGCCCCAGAGGGCAGAAGAACCTAGACTCCTCTAAAGATTGAGATAACAAGGGGTAGAGCTGGATGAACACAGCAGGCCAAACATCAGAGGAGCAGGAAGGCTGACGTTTCGGGCCTAGACCCTTCTTCAGAAAATTTTCTGAAGAAGGGTCT